ATATAGATTTTGTTTTCTCTTACTCTTGTTTCACCCTTCCCAGACTGGTAGGCCCACCAGTCAGTGTTTGTCTGTCTCAGGACACCAGCTGTCTTTTATCCCTTCAAAGGTCCTTTGTATGAAAGTTCCCACCTGAAGCTTTCCTGAGGTTTTGAGCAGGCCTCCTGAACCTAGTCAAACTGGTTTATGTGTTTCTCCAGATGGGATAGAGGTCATCGTCAGAAGTGGATTTCTGGTATTGTCCATCAGAGCTCCAGGCAGTTGGACTCTGTCTACAGCCCTTGTTTTGAGTTCCTACAGGATTTAACCCTTAGCTACTTTCCAGTCAGCAATACAATAACCACCAAACCCACAGAGAGAGATATATAACAATAATAAAAATGTATACAAGTATCTCTGACAACTTTCTCATTGGATAAGGAATGTCTCGATGCAGGGAAAGGAGAAGCCAATGGGTTAGTGGAAGAATGCAGGAGACTGACAGAAGAATGGGAGAAAAGGCCCAGATGCAGGGCATTCCTGTTGAGGGGCAGGAATCTTGCTTTCCAGTTAAGCACACCTAGAGTCTGATCCTGCTCCCACTGACTTCAGTTGTGCAGGAACGAGGACCTCATGCTTTCTCAGTTGTGGGTGTCAAGGGATCTGGCATAAATAAATGAGAAAAATGAAAAAGCACCATTATTTGTCCAGATTAAATTGAAATCAGAGGAGTGTGAGTGTAAGTATCATAGGTAAGGATAAGAATGCAACTTTTAGGGTAGAGGATCTTTAAGACCAGCTTAAATGGTTCAATGTTAAATTGACAGTTTCTATTTTGTATCATGACTATAATCACTAATAAGATCAGGCAATTATATACTAATGTTGAACTCACATAATTATGAAGACAATTAAATATTTGGAAATAAGATTCTGTGATGTTACATGCAATTTTTATTGTTAGAATGCTTTCCATCAGACTCTCAGAGAGCTGAATGTCAATCAAACACATCTAAATGCTTTCCTTGCTATTGAATAATTGTATTTTTACCATTCGACAGCGCAGTACATTATAGTGTCAAGATCTTGCACCTTTTCTCCTTTATTTCATTTCTGGTGACTTTATTTTGACTGTATAGTTTTTATTCTAAGTCATGAATTTAGTCTTTATGAAGGTTAAGAGGTGGAAGCCCTCTATTATGTCAGTAGAGCATAGGATTCTCTGCACTGCTGTATCAGGAAATCTCAAGTAACAGTTTTATGTTGTATGAGGATATTATTCTTTGTCAGTAATAACAAGCACTTCTATTTCTACAGCGATTTCCACATAATCAAACATTCACAAGTGCTTTACAAATAATTTAATTAAATAGGTAGTAGAATAACAGGATGCACCATACACAGTAGCTATTCTATATCCAGCAGCTCACATTTTCTGGTTAGTACAGAACAGTCTAAGCAGTACAACGTGTGAAAGGTATTTCTATCAAAACATGGGCATCATCGCCTTTTTTTGCTATTGTGTTAAGTCAAGATAGAACTGTGTCTCACCCTGTTCCTTAAAAAAATACAGAAGGAATCTTAATGGATGGCAGCTTCAGCAACACAATATACCATCCCTAATTTCCTATTGGTGTAATAAGAAGTAAAACCAGATTCTTTTGTTGGGACTTGAACCTGAAACACTGTGGCTCCTGAACCAAAAGTTTAATTTACTGAATTCCCAGTTATGGATATGGATTTCTTATGTCACAAGATCAAGCATATACTGGAAGTTTTATTCAAAGACAATGTCAATCTGAGTAGCAATAACAAAATCTACAGAATCAAGATCTCCCATTGCAAAATATCACTTATCCATTGGCACTCAGATTTTTTGACAGAATAGTCTAGTTATATAACAGAAATATTCAGGGCCTGATTCAGAGCTCATCAAAAGCAATGGGACTTCAGTGTGCATTGGATCCAATCCCTCTCAGTTAGGAAAAATGTGAATATTTCCAAGCACTGAGGTGTACCCTATGATATGTTAAGTGTTTTAATACCATGTCTATGGGCTTTGAAAGACTCCTGAAATTACCCATATTAGGGTGGGGGGGAGGACACAGAGGCAACCAAGAGCATTAACATAGCAATATTTTCTGGAAACCAGCGTGGCCCCCAAGCACTCTACTGTTCTGTTATCACTTTATCAGTTCCATAAAGCACTTACGCACATGCTTAACTTTTAATGTGCGAGTAGTTTGAGGCTTCATAAATGCTTTGCTGTCCTGTCATCAACAATCTACCTGCTGCTAGCAAAGCAGTTAGTTCTCCAATAGACTGGGGGGTCTGGAAGTCAATGTTAGTTTTGCCGTGGACTTCAGTGAGGCCTGGATCTCACCACTCTCACTGAGATCTCACCCAGGAACTTTTGGTTTCTCTGTTTTGGCTCAATTGTTTGTACCTGTATTTCACATGTCAATTATAACTAACTGCAGTGATTCCAAACAATCTGTATACTTCAAAATGTTTAAAAAAATGTTATTTTGAAGTTACTATAGTAGCGAGGTCTAGGACTATTGAGTCACACTTTTTTGTTTGTTTAATTGTGTCATTACAATAGCTACTTCTACGTACCGGTGAAGTTTCTGTGTGACCTGGTGCCTGGGATAGACACTGAGAATGCCACACTCGGGGCAGACTGGGTAGACCATCCCCAAAACTGGTGGTTTACTCTATAATTAAAGTCACCAAACCCGTAACAAAAGAGCTTCTGCAGTGACACACTGGTTAACCAGAAGCCAAACACAGTCCTCTTTAGGCATTCCAGTCCTTGACTCCCATCCAGATGACCCAATCTAATACAGTAAAATGACCTAATCTAATATAGTAATATAGAACCCATTTCACCAGGTTCTTACTGATCCCAAAGGATCAGTATGTATTTCAGATTTTACCCAAATATCACACTGTCAGCCAATCCTTAGTAAACTAAGTAAAGATTTATTAATAAAAGAAAAGAGAGTTATAAATGATTAATAGGTCATATACATATAAATGGTTGTGAAGTCCTTTATCAGGTTTGGTGCTGTGATGGAATAGACTGCTGGTTTGCAAAAGTCTCTCTGCTAACTTCCAAAAAATTGGAAGGTCCTCAGTTCATAGTTGAAGATGCTCCTTTTAGCTGTAAATCCATAGTCCAGAGAATTAGAGCAAGAAAGAGGCAAAATAGAGATGTCTCAGGTGTCTTCTATATCCTCTATCATGTGCCTGGAAATATACTGTCCCAAAGAAATCCCACAGCCCAGTTGCCTGGGAAGTTACTGGCCCAACAAGGTTTGCTGAATTGCAGGGAGTGGCCACTGGCTCCCTGCTGTTTGAGACATCCTCAGGAAGAGGTATCTGGATAGGATGAGTTGCTTCAATGTCCCATTATGAGAATGGAGTGTCCTTGATGTGCCATCAACACAGCTGTCTAGCCCTAATGTAAATTCTATCTGGGGTGTATCAGCCAGGAACAAACATGTTTTAGATACAAGTACATCACCAATATTCATAACTTCAAATACGAAGATGACATATGCATATAAACAAGATAATCATACTTAGAAAATTGTAATTTTTCCATTGATACCTTACATGACATACTTTGTGCAAGATTTGTTGCAATTATAGAACAGTGGTAATATCAATGCTATAAATGGTCATCTTTAATCATACAGCATCACATCCTGACTCTGCAATTGGGATACTTCTAGTTATTTTGAATATTGAAGTAGCTACTGGAGTCTTCTCCTGCTCCTGCTGTGGTCAGTGACTATTTTGACTTCAATGGAGGCAAGCCTGGGCTTTACTTGACGATCACCTGTGGAGCTACTTGAGACTGGCATATGTGAAAGTTCTAAATTCATACAGTGTTTCTTCGATTTCTGCAGTGAGACTCCCACTGGTGGCCCATTTTCTTGGCCTATTGTACCACATATTCCTGTATCCTTCCTAAACCTGAAATAAGCAACCTTGGGAAATGTATATCTTAGAATTGATAGAATTGTTGTTAGCCATATGGTACTTTTATTCATCTGGGTAGAGAAGCCAAATAAGTCATCCTCCAGTAAACCCAGGTTTACTCCCATCCGTAAGGCAAGTTACATACTTTTCACCTTTTTACAGTAAAATTTCTGTCAAGTTTGAGTGGACCTTGCATTCTCCTCTGCCCACTTGTTGAGCCCAGATACTATTGGGAGAAGTCCCCTGCCCTCTTTCTGCTGTGTGCTTAAAGGCTGGCCCCATTCTCATCTTTATGTTTTGTCAGTCTTTGTGTCATTATGGAATTGCTCCAGTGGTTTCAGGAGTCCTAGAAAGAGAAAAAGGGAAAGATACGTTTGAGAATTGTCAGAATTCTTTCTTCCCCCAGAGCGTGTCTGCCAGTAATACTACACACAGAATAGGGCTTCAGTGTACAGTACCTGCTATTTTAAGAATTTAATTTGAATGGTCACCTGTCATCTTGAAGGTAGTCATTGTGAAGTATTACTTCAGAACTTCCGTGGATGTTATCCATTGCCTTTACTGACAAGCATCTTTGATATACAAGATGTCCCCGACTAAGTCAGTGTCAACAAGGAATAAAATTCATGTTGTGTTTGGTGGCGGTCTGTGTTATTGTTTTGTGTAATGGACCTGGGGCATGAATGGCATTAAATAAATTAATATAAATAAATAAGCAATAGAGTGGATATTTTAAAAGGTAAATAATATATACAAAATCTACTCCCATTAAAAATCCAGTATTTGACTGTGTTACAAGATGGAAATCATAAGATATGAGAGAACAAATAATGAAGTAAGAACCAAAGAAACTATTCTTATTAAAATGATTTTTATAGATAACATTGTAAGGGGAGAACTCAAATGAACAGCTTACTTTTTACATAGATGTTATTAAGAAAAACCTAATGGTTTATAACTTTTACTTACAATAACTTTAGAGCATAATAGCTTCCACAAGCATGTTAAAACACATTTTGTTCTGTTTCTAGATCTATTAGCTGTGCCTAAGCATCCATATGCTGCTATGGAGAACTGGGGACTAAGTGTTTTTGTGGAGCAAAGAATACTGCTGGATCCAAGCATTTCTTCTATATCCTACTTACTGGATGTCACCATGGTTATTGTACATGAACTATGCCACCAGGTATGAGACATGCAATCAGTTATGAGAACTTGGTACAAGCCTGAGAGATCAAATGTATTCTGTTTCAAACTGATATTCTTACACAAATAATTGCACATATTTGTTATAGCTGTATTGAAAATAACTTGGAGAGCTCTAAGATATGTCACAAAAATGCAGAAATCCAGAAAAATCAGATACAATGCAAAAGAGCAAATGAGTGGGAATGAATAAACTTTCTAATGTTGAGTTTAGGTTGTGAATGCTGCCACCCACTAGCCTTTCTGCATTCTGTGTTCAATCAATATTGTCTCAAACTTGTCCCTTTCCTCTGATTATTATGATGGTGCTGTGTGTATATATATGGTAAGTACATTGATAGCCATATAAAATGATTTATTACAGCACTGTAGCAGATTTAGGTTGAGTTGATGTTCATGTCAAAATTTGCTTTGGCTGAAATCAATTTGATCGTCACCTTCTCCCAACACACACATACTTAAGAAGCAGTATTTTTTTTATTCTGCCACTGACCCTCTTTCACAAATTATGGATATTTTGTCTCTGTGTGTATTGAAACTCTCATATAAATTAGGAAACTTTGCAATAGACCCATATTACAATTTATTTCACATTTCTGTTTTCCATCTTCTTATCTCAAACTAAGCACATTACGAGTGTTCAGTAATATTGAGTTGCATGCAAATGTTATTAAAGAACTGTGCTACAGGGACAGGAAACCCTTTTTTGCACTGGTAACAGGCATAATAATAGCCTCTGGGTTAAAATGAATAAAATCCTACTGTGTAATCAGCGTGGCTTACATCTGTGACTTTACACAGGATCTTTTAAAAAGCAATGTACATTCTTAGTACTTTTTCAAAATAAAAAATAACATTTAAATACTAACTTTGTATTGCGTATTCTGATATGTAAACCTGGAAATTATAATGTTTAGTTCATATTTGTGTTTCACATTGAAAGTGTAGGTAAAAATTGAGTCCTCAACTAAAACATTATATGTTTCTTGGAGTTTGTTGCTGATTTAATCTCAGTATGATCCTTTACTTTGTTACAAATTCTTTATTAGATAGTACAATAAAGCAGTATACAATAGAGTGTAAAAATCATAGAACCTTAGAAATTAGGAATAGAAAACACATATTGGGTCATCTAGTCTATCCCATCTGTTAGTATAGGATTCTTCCCTATGGTACGTTTTCTAATGCTTTTTCTATTATTGTTTTAAATGTTTGAAATTATAGAGTTTCCATCACTGCCCTTGGATACTAGTCTACAATTCAGTAAATCTCAGTGTTGTAAGTTATTTCCATATAGTTAGCTTGAATTTTCCTTTTTCTTACATTCTTCTAATTACTTCTAGTTTTCCCTTGTGCCACTTTAGATCGTTTGCTCTCTTTCCAAGCTGATCCATACTTAAAATGTTTGTGGTAAATTATCACATCAACAATTTGCTAAGTTTATTGGTCTGATCCTCATTTAAACTAATGCTGGGGGGGTGGGGTGGGGTGGTGAAAAATGCATTTGTTTACTTTAAGGCCATCTTACATTGCCAGAGTGCAGTGAAGATGGCCTTAGTGTAAATGAGAACAAGCCTCTATATGTATTTAGCTCTTTTACTCTTTCCTTGTAAGTCTTTCCCTCCAGCTGACATCATTGTTTGTTGTTTTATTATAATGGTGCCTAAAGGCACAATTGTACAAACACACAATAAGAGAGAGTTCCTGCCCCAAAGTTTTTACAGTATAAATAGACAAAACAGAAAAAAGGAAATATTATTTCTGTTCTAAGAACAGGAGTACTTGTGGCACCTTAGAGACTAACAAATTTATTAGAGCATGAGCTTTCATGGGCTACAGCCCACTTCATCAAATGGAACATATAGTAAGAAGAGATATATATACTCAGTTACTCATCTAGCCTCTTACAGTTTGTACGGCAACTTCCACCTTCCATATATATATATATATATACACGAATGGAACATGTAGTAAGAAAATATATATATATCTAGTTCAATAGCTAGGGGATTCTTTTTATAATACAAAACAGAACCGGATTGAGTTCCCACCCCGTAATCTGGGAAAACACTAACACCACCCTGGAGTGACTTTAAGAGGTGATACTTCCCCAGTCACAAGCATTGATTCAGTGTATAATCAAAGGAAACATTTATTAAAAAGGGAAAAGGAATCCAGCATTAATTTGGGAATACACCACTACCAGATTCAAAAGCATGTAAATTGAAGCAAACACCCACTCCACATTATATTGGTCAGTGTCCCCTGCCTAAGTTTCCCACCTCGCAGTGTGAAAGTCTTTCACATGCCACTCCTCTCTTTTCCTCCACTGCACCCCACTCACAGTTGGTTGAGAGTTCAGAGGTGCATTCACATGAGTCCACCTTTCATCCCTGAAAAGGGGGGACATTGAGCTGCCGCTGTTATCTCTGCCACAAGTGGCTGATTGCTGCCACCTCTGCAGCTATCTCTGCCAGAACACATCTCTGCCGCTGTTATCACTGCTGCTGCTTGTCTCTCCATGCTGCCTCTGCCGTGCCCTGTCGAGCTCTTAGTGATTTCACTGGGTAGCAGGGAACTTCTGTGCTGCTGCCTCTTCATTTTTTTTTTCACTGCAGCACTGTCCCCATACCAGAACTGCCCATCAGTGATTTGAGCTTTAGTGATCACTGAATAGAAACAAGGACTCTGAATTGAATCTGATCAGCTCACCTTTAAACTGGAGAGGGGCGGGTCACATGGTGTCGAGGACTCTTTAGGCAGCATCCACACCATTAGGTGGGAACGCTCATACCCATCCCCTCTCATCTTCAGTGAGATTTGGCATCTTTACCCCCTCCTTAGCAAGTGAGGTTCAGTTTAGAGTGAGCCCCTCAGTCAAGGCATGCGAAGTATAGTTCTGCTGCCCTTAGTTATACAATAAGGATAACATTTCATAACCCCTACATTCAATGCTAAAGTGAATTGTAACTCAAAACCAGCCAAAACTGATCGCTTTGGCAAAGCATGTCTGTCTGCTGAACACCTAGGCAGAGTAGGTGTGTCTATGCAATACGATCTGCTCCTAAAGTCTTTTCCCCCAGTGCATCACTAGATGTCAGGGGCAAGCTGCTTATATTAGTATATTCTTAGGCCCCACAGAGCATTCTGCACAGCTCAAGATGGCACAGAGCCAACGGAGAAGCTGCAAAATACCCTTTGGGATGCATGAAGGTGTTCTTCAACTGAGTGCTCTTAATAATTCATTGCACTTCACAGTTTTAATTTTGAGTAAGTTCTCACCCCCTTTTTGCAGATAGGATACCTGAGAGGAAGCACAAGCTTACCTCTGGCAGATGTAGTAGAAGCCACATCTCTGACGTGGCAGATATAAGTCTCATCCACTTACTCACTTTGCCTTACAGAGTGGATATGCCAGATCTGTGTGCTTGGCTGTGCCGTTTATAGCTACTAGACCACACTCACCCCCAGAAGTAGGAATCCTGGTCCCCAGCATTCAAAATATTTTTCTACCTCTTAGGTAAGCCACTGGGAAAGTATGCTCTATATCATCCTCTAATGGCTGTAGAGTGACCAGATGTCTCGATTTTATAGGGACAGTCCCGATTTTGGGGTTTTTTTCTTATATAGGTACCTATTACCCTCCACCTCCTGTCCCAATTTTTCACACTTGCTATCTGGTCATCCTAAATGACTGGGTTGCAGAGAGGATAACAGCCCATTGCTGTTACCAGATTTGTGCTTCAGAGCTAAAGATTCTGGGTAAAATCCTGCTGATAACCTACACTGAAAGGTGGCAGGGGTAAACAGGATGGAAGTTACCCTTTTCAGTTTTCTGTTTTCAAAAAGCTAAGCTATTGCATTTTTAAAAATCTCATAAATGAATGTGAAGGTTACAAAACTATGCACTCAAAAATTAGGAAATGCTAGAATTAAAATTGTCCGAGTAACCTTAGTTGAGTCCTCTTGTGTGTGATACACATCTTTAATTACGTGTCCTCACAGTGTGCTGTCCTAAAGACCCCGGTGTCATTTAGTTTTGGGGATGGATAGTGAATTGAGGCAGAGGGTTTTAGAAAAAAAAATATTTCCATGTGTTCAAGGCACTGGTCTGTGATCCAGGAGAATTCACTCTATTTCTGTGCTCTGCCATTGGCTTCTGTTTGTTGCTTGGCAAAACTGTCATAATACATATGCATTAGGGAAGCTGATTAAGATTCCATGGGTAACTTCAGTTCTGGCATTTCCTAAGTTTTAATTTCTTGACATTTCAAACTTCCTGTTTAACATATTTTGTATATAATTAAATAAATACTTAAAAACAAGCGGAAAAATACATAATGTTTCCACACAAAAGCATCTTCTCCAGATCCAAACAAATTCATCGTCTGAGAAAGAATCACACTGTTCACAGGTCATGAACAGGAAATTAATCAACAGTAGAGATATTGATACCAACTTACATTAGTTGCCCACCATCACATACAAATATAATACTATTAAAGAAGTTCAAACAGGATAGGGGATCCATAATATTTAAAAAATTGAGTACCTGTAATCATGTTATTGCAATTATTACTTGATAAACAGGAAAAATCTTACTCCCAGGAGTAAGAATGAGTAAGAAATGAGATGCTATGGAAAAATAATAATATTTTGAATATATTAGAATATATGTTTCTGCTTTTCTAGAAAGGAATCATAGGTAATTCCTTAAGTAAGACAAATATATTTTTATCTAATCTAATCAACAACATCCCAGTGTTTCTAAAATTTTATTAATCCTTTCTAAATTATAAGAACATATGTTAACAAATGTTATTTCAGTATTATCAACTTTAATACTAGGGTTTTTTAAACAAAATCTCCCTGACTATTTCTAATACTTGTTTTGTATTTTCTGAATAATCTTATCATAATCCATGAATATAAACCTATCACATATTATTTCATCCTTTTTCATTATAAGTTATTTGTGGTCAAAATATATTCCCTTAACTCTCCACAGTTTGGGGTATATTATGTGTGCATATGGATTTCCAGTGTGTTTTTTTATCTATCTTTTTAACTGTATATTCTTTGGGACATGGACTGCCTTATTAGTCTTTTAGAGAGCTAAGCGTATTGTCTGTATTTACTTAAATAATACCAAGAGTTATTGATCAGTGGGTTTCCATGATCTGTTCTCTTAATTTCACTCTCAATTGGCATAAAAAGTATCATCAAGATCACTTTTGTCAACCCCATCTGCAGTTCTCTTCCTAGATCTTCATTACATTTATCTTCACTCATTCAGGTGCTAGCTGTTGGCTGCTGAAACCCAATACTGCCAATCTGATAACGTTAATCTCTCTTTGCTATGCACTTTGCACTGCCTCCCTTGTTCACTGGACCCACAATCTCCAGTCACAGCACTTATACCTGCCTCTATACTACCACCATTCCTTTTGCATGAATAGTGATGCACAGATGTACGGCAGCTCATTCATTCCCTACCGAGAGTTTCCAAACAAACACATAGTTATGGAAACAAATAGACCACTGCCCAACTCTTTTTTTTTCATACACTCGCCATTCTAATTGCAGCATCAGTAGCTGATTCTGTAATCTCACATCAGTCATTCTTTCTCTAGAATATCCATTTGCTGTTCTGTCTCTGTTTATTTTAATAGTTTGTGACCACATGCAAGTTCAAAATTATCTCTTATGATGTTAGCTTCACCTCATTTTCTAATTGCATAGAAAACTACCAGTAATGTTTACAGATACAGACTTTAGTTATTCATTCAGAAAAAAATACTTCAGAGACATTGAGATATATTTTCAAAGTAGTGCACAATGATTTACTCATTCAACTCCCATTAACATCAGTGGGTATCACACAGTCAAATACTCATGCACCATTGTAAAAATGAGCTCCCAATGTTATTCCAGTGAACAAACTTGATCTGAATAGACATCCTTACAGAAAGCTAAAAAATGCTAAAACTTGGGAGATCTGGGTTCTGTTCCTAATTTCCCAGAGATGTCTTGTACAACCTACTACAAGACACTTAATGTTCCTCATCTGATACTTAGCTAATTCACAGGTAAAGCTTAGTTCATTGGTATTTTGTAAAACATTTAGAGATCCTTGGATGGAAGGTGTGATATAAGTATAACATATTGTCATTATTATGAATAATAAACCTAGTAGTGCTGGTTTTGTGTACAAATCACACATATATAAACAACATTTTATGTTGTATGATTGAACTTTCCTTGTAGTGGTTTGGTGACCTTGTGACTCCAGTATGGTGGGAAGATGTATGGCTAAAAGAAGGTTTTGCTCACTATTTTGAATTTGTTGGGACAGACTACCTCTACCCAGGCTGGAATATGGTAAGTTCATGTTATTTCATTAGTTTGGAAACTCCACTGAAAGGTTGTTTTCCTGTTATACTCCTGCTTATGTTACAGTCAGGGTCTGCTGAAGAATACCAAATGGTGCGAGCAAGTATCAGATGTCCAATAAAGCAAAATCAGTGGGTGTGAAATCATTTGACAGCATTCCAAGAGTGTAATCTGCCATTTATTACAAAAAGAATAAGGTCTTGTGTATCATAACCAAATGTTAAAATAACTGTCACTTTTCTATTCAAAGACGTTACACACTAGGGTAGTAGTGATTGAACACCAACCATTTCTGAAAACTGTATATTAATGAAAGATCTCTATAGTGTTTTCTGAGGTTCTCAGAACATTGCATTTTTAGTTATAACAATATAAATAGAGAAGGAAGATTCAGGTAAGCCATACAGTGAAACTGAATATATTACTGCAATATTATGCTTTTTAAAAAATTTGTCTACAAAAAGAACAGGAGTACTCGTGGCACCTTAGAGACTAACACATTTATTAGAGCATAAGCTTTAAGATATATATATATATGTATATATATACACACGCACAATATGTTCCATTCTATGCATCCTATGCATGCATTCTATGCATTCTATGCATCCCATCTATGCATTCTATGCATGATGAAGTGGTCTGTAGCCCACAAAAGTTTATGCTCTAATAAATGTGTTAGTCTCTAAGGTGCCACAAGTACTCCTGTTCTTTTTGTGCATACAGACTAACACGGCTGCTACTCTGAAACCTCTAAATTATCTGTTATGGTATTGTTGTTTTGGGCATCTAACATTCTATATTAATCTATATACTGAGGATTAAAGTGTGGGGCATAGTTTGTCACATGCAGTCATATAGCTGTGGTTATAGGATCAACTTCTGTCTTCTGAAACATGTGCAGCTCTCCACTGGTGAAAGAGCCAGGAAGTACAAGTTGGGTCATCCCCTTTGAGTCCCTCTTCTTGCAGATCAAGTGCCTAAATCATTCCCACTTATATCTTATTTTATTCTTGAATATCAGAAGGTGTAATACCTTGACTACTTAAATGGTAAGGAAAGATAAAAGTTAGTGAGAGTTACAAGCATAAAAGAGGCGATACCTTCTTTGTGAGCATGTATAGGGTGTCTGTATATTTTGTAATCTCTCAAGAATAAATTATTTTATTCTTTGCAAACTTGTCTCTCTTTTGAGCTGATAGTATTAGGTATCATGTGACATTTTTTTTTATATATACAGCTTGTAGGATAAAGATTTTAAAACTGAGATTTAGTAATTTGAATGTTTTCATTAAACTCATGCACATTAATTTCTGAAATTGTTTTGCCACTTCTTGAATTTAGTTCTGTAGTTTTAGTCCACTCATTTTTTGTGAAGTAAATCCAAGATGTAATAATTAAGAATTAAATAAACTACTAACTCTTAAATAATTGTACATGGGAACTCTTTGGGTTTATGGACATTTCTGTTTGAAGTTTGATTTCTTTATTCTGTGCCATGTTTAATTTGTTTTGGTGTAACATTTCTGATTTATAATTGAATTATGAAAAAAAGCAAAATAAATCTATATCTGAACTGACATCTGCCTCACATAGGTAAGCTTATTGGGTTCACCTAGCTTTGGGTGTAATAAAACTCATTCTCTTCAACTTTTTGAAGAACACATCTTGAATTACAATATAATCATTCTAATTATAAATGCAATGGAATCTGCCAGCTCTTGGTGATTTCAGCAGAGGGAAATGTCATAGACTACAATGTTCATACGCTGGTTTTTATCTTTGAATCATCATAGTCATTTGTGCTCCACATAATCACTTTAACAAATCCAGAATAACTTTGCTTTAGAAGTCATCTTGAATGGAGGATGTTTTTTGAGAATTCCTGTGGAGTGAATGTAATGTTCACTGTTATGCAAATGACATACAGGAGAACCAAAAGGCATGTGGGTTGAACAAAGTATGACAGTTAAATCTTGGAAATCAGAAACATGCAGTGCATGAATTAGAATTAATAACAGCAAAATGGCTGTGCCTGGAAAATATCTATCTGTCAAGTTATTTTAAATGAAAAAGGAGAGTTGACATAAACTTTTCATGAGGCTTCTGCTATCATTAGCCTTAGATACCAAAATAACCATACTGACATCTAAATAGTTAGAAAACTGGTGGCAAGATAGAACACATGAGAAGTTAAACAGTATAGCATCATACTGTGGTGTTTTTTACAGACTACAATGGGAATTAATAATCTGATGTTTCATTCTTTTTATAAAGGTGGTAGGACTAACAAGCAAAAGTTGGCTACAGCTATCAGATTTTGGCATTCTGGTTATTTTTTTTTATCAGTGCAGAGTACATGTGCTACTAAGATTATTCTGACCTAAAAACCTAAGCAACAAATAGAAGCAATTAGCAAAAGAAAAACTACCCAAACAATTCCATTTATTCAAAAGTGAAGAAGTACACATTACAGGCTACATGAAATCAGTTGCAACACCAAGAACCTTTAGCTCTATTTCTCATAATGATGTTACTTAAATAGCCAGAGCAACAACATAGGAGGCTGCATACTGCTGCAACAACAGTAATTCAGACCTGTGAAATACGCATACAAGGTCCCATTGAATATGATCACACAAGGCTTTGAGAGTGATTTGCATCAGGAAAGTATCAGGAAAGCCAAAAATAATATAATAAAATCTCTTCCCAAAGAATGGGGAAAGGTAGAAAATTGACCTGCTTTTGCAACCTTAAAATTTTATTCTTGTAATCCTCCTGTGAGGATTCAAACCTTGGGGATTGAAGTATCAAATACTACTGCCTTCCAGTTTGTTACAGAATATGCTGTCATATCTCTTTTTCGGCTGGTCTAGGCACCAATAAAAGACTAAGGCTGGTACATTTTGTTAAGATAGCCTTAGCAATGGTATGCATGAACACTGTCTACAGCTTAGCCCTCAGTGAACATGGGAAAACGAAGAATTTTTATAGGAAATAACTTACACTTTTTAAATTTACAATGAATAGCCACTTTCTAATACAACTTGTCACCCCAGGGGTTAAAAACAGGGAACCAAATCAATCTTCTAGTGCTGCCATATTTCCTGTCAAATCTTATAAAGCTTTTCAAGCAGAAGCGTCTCTCCTACTTCTGTATATGTTTGCAAAGATACCTCAAAATGGAATGATGCCTGAGACATATTTCATCACCCTTCTATTAAAAATTTAAAAAGGGATAAATCAGAGCTTAAATCTTATATGTCTATTGTAATACTAAATCATTGCTATGGTTCTTGCATTCAGACGTAATCTCATCATCCCATGTATCAAACATACTGATGAGATGGGCTTCAAGGCAGGAAGGTAAGTCTTAGCTTTAGGAGAAAAAATACATTGTTATATATAATCAGTCGTTCCCAGACCCACAGCATAAAGGTTCCACCTATAAAAAAGCATGGAGGCAAGAAATCTCTCAATCAAGTTCTATATACAAGGTCTGAGTCCATTCCTTCACTTTTGCTTCCTTATACTGGACGGTACACAGCCATAGTCCTGTCCTGCTCCTTCTCTTTCCTACTCTACCACTACCTGTCTTTCTAGACCCAAGATCAAAGAGAAGACAGATGAAAGGAAAGAAGAAGGAAGCAGAATTGAAGAGGGGGAAAGGATAAGAAGATCTTGCAAAAGAAAGAAGATGGGCAAAGAGACCTTTGCTTCTTTCAGAGATCTATATGGGGAGAAGCCTAAGGAGCAAGCTAGGTCACCAGTCTTTATAGGCTCTGAGATTGGATTTGTCAGTCCATCATGTTACAGACCTGGCTGAGTCCCCCTAGTTGATGGTCACCAGTCTGTAGTAATTGGACCCAACCTGGGGATGCCACATGCTTCCAAGCCAGCTGGGTCTAAGTGGAATCCAGATGTCCTTTCTAGCTCTGTGTGCAGACCTCTTGTCTGGCCCGCTTCCTTGGAACTCTACAGGCCAATTGCCCTTGCCCCTGAAACAAGTGCTTTCACATCCTAAGCCTCTCCAGCCACTTATGCATGTCCCTCTCCCTCCCCGGGTCTGCCCCTACCAAGTTCCACCTTGCTATGGAGTGCTTTGGTTTATAGTTTATGTGGCAAGTAAAGTAAAGAAACAGGCTTTGTACAGGAGTTCCTAAACCTGCAGTAACTTTTACTCTCAAAGCATAGAAGAATTATAGTTCTTTAGGAAAACAACAAAACACTCTCTGCTCTCTCCCCTGAGACTCTCACCCCTTTTTGTGAGTCCTTATGCCCTCTCCATGTGACAAGTGAGTAGGCTTCTCCTGTCTTCTGCATCTGTACAATCCTCCTGAGGTCTGATGATGGTCTGCCATTGAGAAAAAGGGAGCCGGGAACAGATCCTCTCCTTAAATAAGGTTTTTTTCCCCTTTTGTTCAGGTGACCAACTGATCAGCTTTAGAACTCCTATCAGGTGGTTAGTCAGGAAGTCCCAGCCCACTTGGAGTCCAAACTGGGGAAATCACTTTCCTTCAGCCTGGCCACTCTCTATAGCAAAATCATTGTCCTAGGGGTAGACCTCTGATTGGAAAATAGTCACAGTTGATGAGTCCTGTGTTACCCCTGCAGGGAGGTGTCAGGCATTACAACCAGCTGCTCTTGTTCTGTCCTTGACAAATCTTGACGGTTAAAATTACATAAATGGACACAGAAATGTTCCAGTCCATCACACTATTTCCCTTTCTTCCCATGGAGTGGTGCCTTTCACATGGTTTAGAACCCATAATCCTTATAGATTGCAAGATGTATAGAAGTGTGCCTGCCTCACTGTGTCACTCTCCACCCTATTCTCCTTTTGATCTCTGGAATCAGGCAGCAAAGTTCCTGTCCCCTTCTGCAGCTAGTCAGCCAGCCTACAATAGCAGACCTCTTCTCTCTCTGCTTCCACACTGGTCCCAGTGGCTGTAGTAAATTCGAGCCACTATGTCCTTCCTGCTGAGTGC